CTGCGTGAAAGTGAGACCGATCTTTTCAAAAATTACTGGTTGGGTGCGGTTTCAGGATACGTTACATTTTGTTTCTGTTGTAACATTAGTGATATAGTGAATTATTTTTCAGCAATCTATGATATTTAAATTCCTCTTGCTACTCAATCATAAAATTATTTCGTTATTGTATAGGTTTTAATAAAAAAAAAACTATGAAAATTGTCTCATGTACAAAAGGCCATGCACAGTAATTGTCTATTTACTGTAGTCATTTAAGTTTAAAATTCCTACAGAGATAGAAAAAAAAGTTGGGTTCTTTATGCATAGCTAAATTTAATGGCTTGATATTTTATCCTGTTTGTCTAAATAAAAGTAAATAGATAACTTATGTCTGCATATTTAAATACAATGAATGCAATTTTAGTGTAAGTCTAAGTAAATCAACTTTGAAATAATACAAACTTGTCATTCTATTTTTAGTCAATGGCACAAAGATTGGCAATTATGTTGATGAAATGATGATGAAATTCACTTCAGTTGTTTTTAAATACAGGATTAAGGTTGAGTAAAGAAAAAAAACACAACATCACTAACAACAATATCCGTTCGCTTCTTTTAAGTGCACATTTACCAACGACTAGGCAAGTAGTATGTAGTAAGTAATGTAGATTAAAAGAGATTATTGTATATTTTGAATGACTTATAGATAGATTTAGGGGGAATATTTCTGTCAATATAATATTTTTTTTAATAATTGAAAAAGAAAAATTTCTGTCTTACGCTACCACCATTCATTAAATCCTATTTAGTATTTTATTATTTGAAAATACATATGATTTAAATTAAAAAGAAAAGATTGACATTTCAATATTTCAATGGAATGTGTTTTGGAAAAAAAATTGTAGAAAATTGAAGCTAATCGAAATGAAAATTTTGATTGTTTTTTTCATTAAAAATTAGCCTTGTTTAAATTGATTCTAATGCTGAGTATAATTATAAATAGATATATGTATGTATAGATATCAGTGGAAGAAGAGAGAGAAGTAGTGGAGAAAATGAAATAAAGAAAGCACTTATTTAAAACAAAATAGATGAACTGTTCAATGATGATTCTATCAATAATGTGAAGATTAACTGATAAAATTAGTTTGCACTGAGTAAATGTAATGTAATAGCTAAGCTTAGTGAATTCATATGATAATCATTTCATTGATTTGAGTGATAAACGTGAATAGATCAACTTGAAATAACCTAGTTCTATGATTTGCACGACGTATGCTCAACTATCTAAAATGCGTCTGTTGAGACACAAGATTATGAGTGATAATTTGTGTGATTATCGGTTACAGTTGATAGAAAAACTCTGCTGAATGGAATTCATTTGAAATATTCTGTGACAGGTTTTGTCAAAATCAAACTTTTTACTTTAAATGAAACACGAATAATAATTGAAGCAGACCAGCAAACATTTGTGGTGTGCAAGGTATCACTAGTCTCGTGACGGTCGTTATCCAATGTGTTCGTATTTCGCTCGTCTAGGCAATCGTCAATAAGTAGCACCTGATGGTTTTAAATCAGAAGGTGAACATGAAGTGTTCACAAGCACGTAGAGTAGGTCGAGCACACTGGAGAGCGAATTAGCGAGTGTAGTGAAGTGGAGTGAAGGCTAGTGAGTCTTAGACGAGTTTGAAATTAATAGGATTATAGCAACCTAAGTTTTATTAAGATTCTCATACTTTAATTCAGATAGTTTTAAAACCCTCATTGGAAATCAAATTGAAGGTATTTTGTCATGTTTATCCCATACAAACATCGGAATCCAGTTCTGTTGAACTGTATTATTTTAAATTACAGACTATAACGTATATTATTTTGTATCAGAAATCTCCGGACAATCAGTGATTTTAATATGATTCAGGAAAACATAATCATAATCAAATGTTTTAGCTTACAGCATGAACTGATTTTAATAAGGTAGCCATCGAAAACTGTAGTATGCATCTATGACTCAGCCAGGGACCGAAACAAGGGCACTGAGTTCTGGCTGAAATTTCATAACTTGTAGACTACTAAACTGGGCATACAATTTTATTTGTAAGTTACTGTCTCACAATAGACATGGTTAAACTTCACATCTCATATATCTCCATCAGTTGTATTTTGAAATAAGTCTCTGGTAAAAGCATGCTTAATATAAGTGTAAAGTAATTGTGGCAGTTGTTGAGGTTTATTGTTTAAATCACATTTTTGATATATTAACTAATCTGGCGAGTGTCGTTAGTCAAACTATACGTTAAAAGATTCTAGTAAATAAGAACAATGATAAATAATCAGAATTACCGAAAGCATTCCATATACAGATGATAACTAGTTTTAGAGTCTTTTTTTATTGAATTCCGTTAAAATAGTTCATCACTGAGTACTGACTAATGAAGCACCTCATATACCTTAGTGTTCATGATAATTCGATAACAGTATCGACTATTTGAGTGCGTGACTGCTCGCTTTTTACACGTCTAACCTATTATGGCCTGACTATAAATAGTTAGACGTGCTTCATCCTTAGGGTTTGGCTCGCTTGGCTTCTCCATTTCGCTTCACTTCACTTGTACACTTTTCATTGTCTTGTCTGTCTGCATGAATGATTGCTTGAAATAAATTCATCCTTAAAACCGTATTTGGCTTCTTATTAACACTGTCGCACACGCCGCATTCGCTTAATTATGATGTACGGAAAATGGAAAGGAAGATTTATTTCATCACATACTCGATCATTCGTCCAACCTGAGGTCAAATCGCGAGCCACTAAAATAACATCATGTTTATCTCGTCAGTTTTCTCAGAAAGAATTCTCTCGGTCATATTGTAGCGTTAAAATTAGTTTCAGTTACTCACTGTCGACTGCACATTGTTTAAACACTAGATGTATTCAGGGAATCAATAGAAAACTGTGTTTCATATAGATTTCAAGCTAATTTGTATTCATAAACAAGGCATACTAGCTAACATGTGAAACCTTGTGCTGCCTGTATGGTTTCACACTTACACTATCCAACTTCACACTCTTATGTCTCAAAACTGGAATAGTAACTGTCCAGATAAAGAAAACCCATTCTCTTGGCCACATATGTAAAAGTATCCATTAAAAGTTTGATTCTAGGTGTTACTTTATCAAAAACAAATAATTTATAATTTATAGTCAAAGTAACTTTACCCCTTTTTCGGATTGCTAAATAACAGTATTATAAAGCAAAATACTAAAATCTATAATAAAACTTAAGTTGAAGTGCAAAATCATAAATGTACCTATCATACAATCAATCTGATAATTCATTGTTAGAAATTACAAATTACAGGTATACAATTGACCTACAATAACCATATTTACAAAATTTTTGAGGTATCCGTTATTGAACATTGAGCGCTAATATTTGTAGATATTGAACATTAGATTTTGCTGTTAGATTAAATGAAACAGGAAAGATCAATACATCGCCTTTCCCAATTTCTTCATACAAATATCTTCGCTGTTTATTCATTGTACCTTAATAATTTCGATATCTTATTCTGATAAAAATGTATCCCAAATTGACTATAGTGGTTATCTGTCAATCAATAATAGATGACGGAAACTTTAAATGTTAAACAAACATAGATGCACGTAAATATTTAGAAATCAAAGATGTCGGCTTGATAAATAAAGGAGACGTAGGTTAAAAGTGAAGGAATAATTAATTTCTGACCACATTCAACAGGTGTTTTCATATTACTAAACCAAAAATTTCATTTTACAATTTATGTAGTAGATTGATTTTGGCTAGACAATTATTACATAATCAGACAGAACAAGGCACTTATTTAATGATCAGGTACAAAATGTGAATTATTGATTACTCATTCGTCGTAAAGACGATTACATCCTTTTCATGAATTATAACGCCCAAGGACTCGATCTCTGATAGTGTCAGTAATTACAAACTGTTGTGAAATCTTTGGTTAAGGTCAGTCCATAACGTCAACTATGAACTAAAGAATCTGGTTTACACAACTTTTGTGTTTAGAACTTCATTCTTTAATTGTTAGATATTTATTCTTGAAAAAATCTATATTTTCATCATATTAAAATAGTTCTAGTCTACATTACAATTTTATTCTCTATTATCATAATTGCAAAATATGATCTATTTATTCCAAAGTCAATCACAGATCATCTTTCATTACATAAATTACCAATCAGTTATACTTAGAATTCGGTCTCTTGAAAGTAAGGAGTCATCCCGTTAACGGTGTTGAATGCTCTCTCGCGATCAAGTCGAAGCTAAAGTACAATGGTGAATTCCATTTACATGATTGTTCCACAGTGATGAGCAGTGTCATGATTGATTCATACGGAATCTTGACTATTTTTTCAAAGTTGGGCGTTTATCGAATCCTTCGTTCGGTCTAACAACACTGTTGAAGACTTACTGGTACTGGTAGTAGAGTGATGCCTCTATAGTTCTCACACTTAATGAAATCTTCTTTCTTCGGTATTTTGATGGGATGTCCTTTTATCAAGTTTGTTGATACTTGTTTTCTTAAAGAGAAACTGTAATATCTTTTCAGTTACTGTTACGTCTTCTTTCAGTGTCTGCTCGTGCTACTTAACCTCTCGTGATTTATTTTGACGACCATGTTGATATGTCTAAATGTCGGTTGGTCAATATCGATGCTGATCTCTTTAAATATTGGTTGGTCAGTATCGATTAGGAGGGAAGGGAATATCTAAAATAGTGTCCATCTTTTCAATAATGACAAATTTGAATTTCTTTTTTACCTACTAACTTCCTTTTATCACGAGTTTTTAAAATTCCAAAAATTTGCATATACTATTTAAAACAACAACTACAGTGAAATATGAATTATCAATTATTTCGAATTAATTTCTTTTTTACTCTGTTTCAGTTCGATGGTGCTTTTGAATATTGGCTAAATCACACAACTTCCTAACAAGTATGCTTATTACAAACTGGAGGAATATGATAAACAGTTATTTGTGGATAACAGGTAAGATGATTTTAATGTTAAGATATTATTTTTCTGTAGTGAGATGTTGAAAATAATTTATTCCTGTTAGCTATATAAACTAGATCATTTGTCATTTGGCTACAAGTAGACAGATTAGTTCCATCAGTAGGAGCTGCTTTCCCATTTACTTATTGAAAAGTATTGAAGTCGGAGTACGATTCAAATATCTAGCATTCGAGAATATACCAGGTTATATATATGCATAAGCTGTAGATTTATCCCGAAACAAGAGCAAATCACTGTTTTATTCCTTTTAGTTTTCAAATGATTTCACAAGTAATATATAAAACAGATTACACAGTCAGTGGTCATTTGCTTAAGAAGCTGGATTTATATTCATATCAAGCGCAAATCATTACTTGAACTGGAGTTTTAAAAAGAATGCTAAGGTTGAAGGTAAACTATGACGTGGAATAAATTAAACTAAATATTCGTGTTGCAAACCAGTCATTTTGTTTTGCTTTTAAGGTTTTGTATTCTTAGGCTGTTGATGGCATGAACTATGTTTGACCATCTACTATTGGGATACGTGTATTCTGTGTAAAATGCCTAGTTACTACTACAATATTTGCATCAAGGTTAGACTAATAAGTTCAGTTGGCACTTGAAGCAAATTGGACTGGATTCGGTTGTCAGTGTAAATAGTCACACTGAGTTGTAGATAAATCGATCTGACGAGCCTCAAATCGGACAAAACAAGCGTCCCAGATTTCTTGTTTAGCTTTGAGAAAAAGTACTCATGTCATTTTAGTTTAGTTTGTATACCCATTTGTCCCGATGTACTTAGGTTCTTTCACACGTAATGTCTGTCATGAGCATACTCAAACAGTTTTGGTAATAAGATGAGATGAATATTCATTCTTCCCTGATTTCAATTATTGTGTAGTTAAGTTGAAGTGAAACATAATAATAAAATAATTTTTAATTTTTAAATTGGAACGTTGAACACATTGGAAAAATTACAACTTATCCAATGATAAACTAGGATCTGCGTTGATAATTTTTGCAGTACAGTAGTCACTTTCAGTGGTAAAAGTAGTGATAGTCAGACGGTAATATTTTAGGTTGAAGCAAAATGAAATTGATTTTTCATCGAATATCACATAAAATCATGAATACTGTTTGATTTTAATTTATTTATTATATTGGCTGTTTAAAACGTCTAATTGACATTTAGGACTGCAATCAATGGGTCTATTTTGACATTTCATCATCCTGTACAAATTGTTTCGACATCAGTATTTATCCGCATACATGATAAGTAGAGATGGATAGTGGCCTAGCAGTGAAGTCTAGGAAGCGGATCTGTCAGCTGTAGGTAGCTGAATCCAAAACTTGATGTCCAATCCGGGAATCGAGCAGATCACCATTATCCGCTTAGATTCTGAGTCTAGACAACCACTGGTTTATGCAACTAGGATGAAACGCTCGCTCTGGATTCCATGTCTAACCAGTGTCAATCTTTGTGCAAAAAACAAACTAATTTTATTTTTGTTCATACATTTAGTAAGAATAATTTTCAAGCTAAGCCATCTTTTACTTTTGTAAAAGCAAAACCACCTGCTGATAAAATATGCAAGTTTACTTAGAGTTTTACTGAATAATTGTTTTAACAAAATCAAAATGTCATTCATTGATGATTGCAAAAATTTTGATTTCGAAGCTTTCTTCTTGGCATTTGTGTCCGTGTGTGTGTGTGTGGTAAATATAATTTTCATTTAATTTTATTGAGTAAAAATGTTATGTAGTAAATTGTATTAGCGAAATAAAATCACTTGTAAAATCTTAGGATTTAATTGGTCAGAGTTCGAGTCTGGTAAATGTGTAGTGCACTTAGACCTGTTCAACATCATTTTCATAAGCGGAACATTTTAATCATTCAGCTATTGTTTCTTATGTAGAATAAATATGAAACGTTTCAGCTATAATTAATTTTCATTTTTGAAGTTAGACAATTAATTCACATTGGCATTTTGAAATGTTTCCCAAAAAGTGTCTTCCTTGACAATTGAATTTTGAATAGTTAATCGAATTTAAAATCTCATAAACATAATCTTAATCAGAGCAGGATAATATGAATTCATTTTATTTCCTGAAGTTTTCATTATCTATTTACAATGTGTAACATTTTAAAATCAAAATTATCCTAGAAATTGACATACTTATAGACAGGAACGTGATTGGCGATAATCATGTATATCATTACGCAGCAAAGATCCCAAAAAAACTCGTAAAAGTATTTTACAGATGCATAAAGTCTTAAAGAGAAAGTTGTAGAACATTAAGCCAGTGATTTGAAATCATACAATTAACAAAATTTAGATGATTGAGTTTTGATTTAACGGAGAACAGATTCTTGGTGGTGAAAAACAAGCTAATTTGAAATTAGTCGATTCGAATAAAAATTGCGAATTCCGAGAAAATGGAAATGATGTCGTCATTGCATGAGAAACAGTTGAAATCAAGAATGATTCAATAGAATGGATAAAGGTTTACCAGAGTAAATACAGATTTATTACCTGGAGACATTAGATGAACTCCTTATATTCTGCATCAATCTTAGCATTAAAAACCTTTAAAATAATATAGATTTTGTTGGTTGCGTTTGTTACAGATTGATCTGGTTTGAAGTATCATTGAAAGCCATGGAGTACTGTTTCTTCGAGATGATGAAAGAAATGTGTAGCTGAAGTGGATGTTTATGGGAAAGTTTTGGTCTCTGAGCTGGATGCTTTGATTGTGGAGCTTTCATAATTCTTTTGAACAACATCATCAGCACAATCTTCAGGTAGAAGTTAAGTATTCAAATGATGATGTTATTCAAAGGAATAACGAAATCTCCACAACCAGAATATCCAGAGAACTAAAATGTTTCTTCAGCAATACATGTAAGCAACCCCATTGGAGGTAGATTACAGGACCTTAAAATATTGTGGATAATCATTATAACGCACAAAGAAGTTAAAATCAGGTAGAATACATGTATTTGAAGGAAACAAATAATTTACAAAATGTGAATGTCATCTTCAGACATTCATTTACAATTACAGCAGGTTCTAGACTGTCTTCTACCACATTGATTCTGTTCTTTAATTCAAACTGATCCAACCGAACATTTCGGTCTCCAGATACTACTCTTTGATAGAAACATCTAGTTGACGCTTCTCTGTATGTGACTCATGTGTCATATTGTGAGTAGCAACCACCACACCACTATATATTAAACCTCAACTAGTTTACGACATTGTATGACAGTTATTCAATGTCATTATTGAAAGTGGCTTTTGTCCAAACCTTCGAAAACCTCACCAAGTAAGTTATTACCAAAAAGATCAATACTAGAACAAAACAGCTGTCTAATACTTGCTAATTTTCGTAGATACCCTAATTCATATTATTCTATGATCAGTACAAATTAGGCTGATCACCTTAAAATGAAGTAATTCAAACATATGAATAGAATCTATTTGTTTCCACAAAATGAAGCTTCATGGCTCTTTGTTTAATCAGTCCAATGATTGCTAAACGACTGCATACAATTTAAACTAATTATGTTATCAAAAATATTTACATATCTATATTTTGTTAATAGATTAGTGTAAACGTAATTCATTTGATCGTTTTTTAGGTTGATTGAAAGTGGTGTTTTCTTTATCCCAGCTCAATGAATTTAGGGGTTAATTCAACTTGTTGATTATACTTGGTGGTATTATATTTTTCGTATGTACTAGCTTACTAACATACACCTCTTAATCCTGATGGAGCATATGCCGCCGACTAGTGAATTATTCTTCTGGTTAGAGTCTTTTCAGCAAGTTGGTTTTCTACGGGTTTCTATGGGTTTGCTAACATCCATACCCAACCCTCCTGCTTTATTCGAGCTGTAGATCTGGAATAACCTTAGAAAGGCTCTAGGCAGAGTGTATGTACTAGTCAATTTATTTCATTACATCAATTCGTTTGATCAGAACAATAAATGATTTTCATTATTTGATCGTAGTTATGAAAGGAATCTTTTTTTTTTAAATAAAAATGGTAATTTCAAATATGCAAATGAATAAATTAAAAAACCTGTAGGGAATAAAATCAATTTCTATCTACTCAGATAAAAATCTGAAAAAAGTTTATTTTAATTAGTTGTAAATCTCTGAAGAGAGAGAGAGCGAGAGAAATAATCCCTATGGAGTATTTAATGTACTGTATGATTATTAATGACTACACATAACATTTATGTTACTTGTTAAGACTTTTTTGTGAATATACTATTGAAAATGAAGTTATTCTCAGATTTGTGATGTAGTTTTTTTTTTAAAAAATAATATTCAATTGTTCACTGAAACATCATTGTACACTGATTAGAATAAGATACTTGAAGAATAAGATACTTTGATTTGTTTTGAAAACTGTTTAACAATTTACATTTATGCCTACTCATATGAATGAACTTAGAAATTTCAGATATTTTTTCTGATTTGACTTTGAATAATTGTAGATTGACTAGGGTTGACGACTGTGTGATCAAGTGGTTCATTGTTTACTAGAGGTCCTGGATTTGATTGTTACGTGTGAAGTCGAAAATGCACTACTGAGGAGTTCCATACTGTCATCCAGTTCTTCCAGGTTTTCAATGGTGGTCTAACATATATCGGCTCACGATTTCAATGACATTCTTTCTGAAGGATGTACTTCTGAAACTTACCTGTGTAGGATGAAACAATTAACTTAATTTTTTTAGTTTTTTCAAGGTTACGTCAGTCTGTTATAAAATAAAGTTTTTAAATTAAGCCCATCTTTACAAATTATTACATCATATACTCTAATAAAACAACTTCTTCTACAAACTCGTTACTGTTCAGCGGCTTGTTTGAATGTGTTTAGGCTAGCTGTTTCTTTCTAACATCAACATATTTCAAAAAGTTACCTCGTCCTGTTTGTTTTATGTCTTTTAATTGTGTAATATAATCAGGTGTGTGCATAAA